CCTGTGGAATCCCTCTCAGCTGGACTGTGAGCAGCGTGGCGGGCAGCACTTTGCACCTTCATGTAGTGAGATTGTGGCTGGCAGCTGGCTGCAGGCACCTCTGTCGTCTGTTCCCTTGTCCCATTGAGTCTTCATGGTTTCTCCACTTTTTTGCCATAATCTTTCCAGCAGTCGGACTCAGAGATGTGATCCTTACTTTGTTCTTTTCCTACCTCAGAGCAGCTGAAGTTAGTGTGTCTGTACGGCACGCAGCATCTTGGTTTTCAGCGTTTCCCATGTTGGGTTTTCGCATAGTTCACACTAGTCTGTCAAGAAGTCCTTCAGAATGTATCCAGATCTAACCTCTTGACTATTACCAGCATGTTCCCTCTTCTGAATTATAGTAGTCACATACAAAAAGCTTTATCTATGTTTAGTATTCTGTTAACTGTTCTCCATACAACGGCCAGAATGACCCTTTTAATGTACGTTAGAGCATATTACCATGCAAAACCCTGCAATGGTCCCCCCATTTAGCTCAGAGTGAAAACAAAGTTAGAATAGCCTTCATAATCAGTCTGCTCCTCAACTACTGTATTATCTGATTTCATGTCCTACTCTTTATCTGTGGTGGTTCAGCCACTTCATCTTTGCTGATCTTTAAACAAGGCACAATAGAGGCTTTGTTCTTAGTGTCCTCACTAAACTGTGATTTCCCCAGAAAGTCACCACACTCACTCTTTAATCCTTAGAAGTCACTGCTTGAATGACTTACCTCAATAAGGCCTGCACTATCCATTCTCTTTAAACTACATATGCCGTTCTAGGGCTTTCTCCCCTAGAGCACTTACCTGAACTTTCTAGCATATATTTCATTACCTTGTATTCAACTTTCTGTAGACTGATCTATCCATACTAAAAGCAGGTTTCATGACAACAGAAATTTTTCTGTATTTTCTTCATAATACCTGCATAAAGTAGTACTTGTCATGGTAAGTAATAAGTAACACTGGACTGATTAGAAAAAGTTAAACTTAGGTTTTTATATCTGAAAGCCATTTTGGAGATCGTTTTTCCTTTTGCTTGAATTACTTCAGGTACCTTCATGTTCAGTACTGTTCTAATACCACAGTAATATGAGTCTGCTCACATTGAATTAATATTCTAGCATTATGATAAGACCTTTTTTCAGGAGCCTATGTTGTGGCATCACTGGTTAAATTGCCACTTACTTTGCCAGCATCCCATACCAGAGCATGGTTTCTAACCTTAGCTGCTCTGCTTTGATCCAGCTTCCTGCTAATGCACCTGGGAGAACTGAGGAAAATGGCTCAAGTACTGAGCCCCTGCCATCCATATGGAAAACCTAGATTGAGATCTGGGCATCCTGGCTTAAGCCTGTCCCAGGCCCAGCCATTGTGGCCATTTGGGGAGTGAACCAGTTAATGGAAGAGCTCTCTGTTTAACATTCTGTCTCTCTCACTCTTCCTTTTCTATTCCTTCCATCCCTTCCTCCTCTTCTCCCTCCTTTCCTTCCTTCCTTTCTTCCTTCCTTCCTTCCTTTCAGTGGGATGAAGTGGAGAATAATATATGATTCTAAATAGCCAAAGCAGTTTTGAGCAAAAGAAACAAAACTAGAGATATCATACTACTTAATCTCATAAAATATTACAAAACAATAATCATGCAAATAAATAGAGCAGAATAAGGAACTCAGAAATAATCCCATGCACATATTCAACTGGTCTTCCACACGAGTCAAGAGTGCACAGTGGAGAAACAATAATCTCTTGAGTAATGTTGTTGGGAAAACTGAATTTCCACCTATAAAAGAATGTAATTGGGGCATTATTTCACATCAGACACAAAGATTAAACGCATAAATGTGAATTCCTGAAATAATCTTTTAGAAGAATATATAGGGAGGAAACTTAAGACAATGATCCTGACAATGATTATTTTTAGATGTAACAGGTTACAAAAGCAAAAATAGACAAATGAGATTACATCGAACTGAAAAGCTTCTATATAGCAAAGGAAACAATGAGCAAAAGGAAAAAGACAAACTATAGAATGGAAGAATATAATTATAATTTGTGTTATCTAGAAGAGGGTTAACATTCAAAGTATATTTGGAACTTTTAACTCCGTAGCTAAAAAAACCAACCTGATTAAAAAGTGAGCCAAGGACCTATACAGACATCTCACCAAAGACCAATAGCTGACTGCCAGCTGCATCAATAGGTGTTCAGCACTGGGACAGGCATTGTGGCACCCTGGGTTAAGCTGCCGCTTGGAGTGCCTGCATCTTAAATTGGGCAGCCAGTTTGAGTTGCAGATACTCTGCTTCAGAGCCAGCGTTTTGCTGAAGCCCCGGCAGCAGTGAGTATGGGACCAAGTACTAGGGTTCCTGCCACGCCTCAGGGACTGGTCTCCTGACCTTGGCCTGTCCTAGCCCAGACCCCAAGCTCTCTGTCAGTCTGCCTTTCAAATAGTCCTCAAGGAGAAAAAAAAAGTTGATTATCACTAATCATCAGGGAAGTGAAAACCTTAAGTGTTCTTACCACAAAAGAAAAAAGGTTTAGAAAACATTTCTTAAAATTAAAAAAAAAGAGAGAGCAGAAGGAAAATCTTTTGGAGATCTTAATAACTTTTAAATAGACTCAAGTCCCAAATAGAAAGAAGATACAAATTCACTAGAAAGACTTGTACCATTAATATGTTCTTCAGTGCCATTTCGTGTTAACGTATGTTCAGTTCAGCAACTGATAGGAACTAGATTTAAGATTGCCTCTCTCCCCCACAATTAACCAGGCTTTAATCAGGGCATTAAGGAGTTCTAAATAGGCCTTGCTTTTAAATCTGCATATCAAGAGGGGGCTGGGAGCATGAGCAGGAGGATGTCATGTCTGCGTGATTAATGATCTCTAGGGAGCTGAAAAGGAGAGAGTAATATACACAGTATTTCTACCCCCTGGAGGAGGAATGCAAACACCATTGTGCAGTTCTGTGCATAGTCACTCACTTCCTGGTAGCTGGAGAATTTCTTACACTCTTCTACCACAAATAAAACTGTCAGAGAAGTGACAGAGCTCAGAAAGCTGGCCTTCCTTACTTGAAAAGAATAGTTCAAACACAATGGCCAGAAAATTAATTTTGTAATTGTTTGGGAACCCAACTGTTTAATAAGAAATGAGAACTTCTCGTGAAAAGCCTAAAACTTTCAAATATTTGTTGAATCAAATATTTGTTGAATCAAACTCTGCGTTTGGTGTCTTAAATTTACTGAATTTCTGTAAACTATTTGCTTTATGTGAACTTAAAGGGGAAACATTCCTTTTTAATGAAATGACCCATCTCAGACTTTCCAGTTTGATGTCTGATAGGTTTGGAGACTCATATTATCGGTGGAGCCCACAGCCTGTTTGCCCTGGGCAAGAAAAATCCTCACATTTCAGAATGGCTTGTATAGTTTTAGAAAATAATTCTAAGGTAGATTTCTTTCTTCTTCTCTTATGCTAGTGGATCTTGGCATTTAGTAAAATTTCCAAAAGCTTAGATCAGAGGTAAAACATTTGAATCTGTAGATAAGGAACTTCAGATACTTAAATTCTTTTTTTAAGTTTATGGGAAAAAAAAAATTTATTTCAGCTGCCTCTGATTATTTACAAATAAGCAAAATTAGGTACTTTGTGTTGTAACAGTTGCAACCACAGCAGTAGGCTGCCATGAGATAACTTGCACTTCACCAGGGACCATCTATTCAAAGGATTGATTGATTTTTGCTCAGGATTATTATTATTATTTTATGCCCTGTCCATTACCACTCATTATTCTGCATTGTCTACTTTCTAGTTGACAGATTTTTAAATTTTTCCATAACATTAAAAAAAGGAAATAGGTATTTTGGGGGGAGTGGAGCGATATTGCAGAGCAGAGAATAAAACTTGAATTTTTTTTATATTTTGTTTATTAGGATGTCACCGTAATCTAAATTAAATTTTAGACTGCTTTGGTCTAAATGAAGACAACATCAGATGTTTGAAGCCCTGAGTTTGATTTCCAAGTGGTTAGACTTTTAAATTGTATTTGCAAGAGTTTATTTTTAGCAAGGCTGTGGTTATTTTTAGATCTGCTTCTCTGTCACTAGGAAATGTAATGCCTGTCTTTCCATTGTTGTGAGTCAGGAAGTCTTGAGGCACAGGTATGTAAGATTCAGTTAGCATGAACCTTTGCCTTGCCTTTGAAATGAAAAATTTGAAATATTACATGGAAGAAAATACTTCCACTGTAACTGCTTCTGATTTTGAAATCTCTGGTATCACTTTAATCTGTTCTACACCGAGATATAGAACAAGATTTTTCAGGAATGCACAAAATACAAGGTTTGGGTTCCCCCTACTGGTGTGTGTCCTAGGCTCTCATATTCATTTATACACAGCAGAAAGACTGGCTAGTTATTATTGCCTTGTTTGAAGAAACCTGATGAGGGGAGAGAAAACAAACACAACTTATCTTCCCCAAAACTGGGATGATTTAAAGACAATTTTATGGTCTGTATCTAGAAAGAACAGAACATAACCCTACAATATTTAGTTTTTAATGTTGGTACCACGACGGTAAGTTGCTTATATGCAGTGCTTTCAAAATGCTTTATCGTAAAACATTAGTGGATCTACAAAAGGATCCAAAACCTTATGGGGAGAAATGCAAAGCTGGCAATGCCGTCGTAGTCAGTTTAAGAGCTGACATTAAAGCCCACTAATTTCTGTTTTAGCATTTCAGAAAGTGACATGACATGTGGTTATATCTGCCCATTTAGCATCTGTTCTTCGTAATTTGTCGTATGTGTATTTGAAGCAGTTCTTTATTTTCTGTCTCTTAGTACTTGCTAACTAATGTTAATGACATATTTTGAAAAAGAAGAATTTTAATTGATTCCTAAAAGTCATTTCTGAACTTATTGTGCTTATAGTTTATTCAGTCAAATAAAATATTGTATTTTTTAAATTGCTTTTCAGCAATGCAGTCAACCTTTTAAGCAATGTTCCGGTCTCTTGTTTGGATGTCCTCATTTGTCCATTAACCCAAGAGGAAACAGCCCAAGAGGCACCGGCTCTAGATGAACTGCCCAGTGAAAAAACAGCTGAAAAAGAAGCAGTTTTGAAAAACAATACCATGGTTTACAATGGTATGAATATGGAGGCCATTCATGTTTTACTCAATTTTATGGAGAAGAGAATAGACAAGGTAAGGCTGATAAGATGGATTGCTTGGGCAGCTGTTTATATATCATGTGAATGAGCCCTAGATTAACACACGCACATAGAGCATGCTTTCCGAATGAAAGCCTTCTTACTCTCCTGACAGGTGGTGTAATAATTTGTAGGTTGGGACCATTTTGTTACAATGTATGGTAAATTTCTGAAACCAAGTAAATATATGTGGTTCACTACTGAAAATTGTGTTCATGTTAACACCAAAATTAAGACCAGTTCCTGAAAATAAAGGAAAAATTAATTGCTTTTCTACATAAAGACTTCCTAAGTCCTAAAATTAAAAGTTACGCTCTCAAAATCATGATACTTTCTATCATTTTTTCAGAAAGACATTTGCAGTTTTGCACTTACTGTGAGTTGCTGGTCTGTAATTCACTTTGTCAAGTAAGTGTTACTAAAAGTCAACAAGGTAGTATGGGGGGGTAACAAAATATTTGCCTCCTTTAAGCCCATTAGCTGAGTCAGTGGGAATTCTAGAAACTGTAGGAAAATCCAGGAAGGACAAAAACAGGCATTAGTAAACATAAAATCACCCCAACTCCAAAAAGAATTAATATGCTCAGACGCTCAGAGAACACTGTTAGAAACAGACTAACGTGGCACGTGTGGTTTCCTTTTAGGGCAGCAGCTATAGAGAGGGTCTAACTCCAGTTCTCAGCTTATTGACAGAATGTTCCCGAGCCCATCGACACATCCGAAAATTTCTCAAAGATCAGGTAACTGCCTCATGAGTATTTTATCTCAAAATGATAAAGTATATGCTTTTTATATAAAGTGAATGATGTAACTTAAGGTCTTCTTTCAGAAAATCAGAGAAGCTCCTTTTAATCTTTGAAATCTTTCTTGTCCTGAAACAGATGGACTTGTGTATTTTTTGAGTCATTCATTCATTTATGAACAAATGTTATTGAGATTTACTGTGTGCCATGTTCTAAACATTGTTCTGAGAACAGAAAAACCGATAAAGTCTCTGGCCTTAATGAGTTTCCTTTATAGTGGAGTGACAAGGTATAAGCAAATAAATACATAAAGGCAGGTGGTATACGTGTTCTGGAGAAAGATACAGCAAGACAAGAGAAAAGGAAGGCTTGGGAAATGAAGGTATCTCTAAGGAGATAATATTTTAACAGAAATTTGGCTAAGTAAGAAAAGTCAAACTATCTGGAAATATACTGGAGACAAATATAAAGTTGCTAAGATGGGACAGTGCATGTGAGAGGATTCAGTGTAAGGGTTCATTGGGGCCTGGTTCAATGGCTCACTCAGCTAAACTTCTCCTTACAAGTGCCGGGATCCATGTGGACACCAGTTTGTGTCCCCGGTTGCTCCATTCCTTTTCCAGCTCCCTACTTACGGCCTGGGAAGGCACCAGAGGAGGACACCCCAAAGCCTTGGGACCCTGCACCCGCATGAGAGACTCAGAAGAAGCTCCTGGCTCCTGGCTTCAGATTGGCTCATCTCCAGCCGTTGCAGCCGCTTAGGGAGTGAACCAGTGAATGGAAGACCTCTCTGTTTCTCCTTCTTCCTGTAAACTCTGCCTTTCCAATGAAAGTTAATCTTTTTTTTCATGGAAAATGCAATTAAAGCTTCAGTTTATTTTGGTGCAAAAATTTTGAAGTCTGTGCATAGCTTTTTTATAGTTTTTGCCATGAATTTTTCGATGACCCATATGTTCAAGGGACACAATGGTAGATGAATAAGAGAGATGTACAAGAGCCAGATAACATAAGGTTGTATATGATTTTTGGTTCCCTTCTATAAGGTGAGAGACATTGGAGTGTTTTGACGGAGAGAAATGTGACCCCAGTAATATTGGATGATCCTCCAGCTGTTATCTGTACTGTTTGTAGGATGGACTGCGGTAAAATGTTAAGAGGGTGGGAGAAGACAAGCACGAAGCTGGTGATGATGGGGCTTGCGGTAGGATGCGAGTAGCTGGAAGTTCATACTTGGAGATGCTGTGAAAGTAAAACTCAAAACATGTGCCAGTAGATTGCGATGTAGGTGGAATGAAAGATCGTCCAAGATGACTTCGTGAGCTTTTACATCCGAAACTCCAACTGAAACCAAGCTCTACAATCCTAGCTTGAGGCGCTTTCTCTGAGCGCTCTCAACCCAGCATTGTTTTACCATGCAAATAGTCAGTCTCCACTGATGTCATCTTCACCCATTTCATCCATGCTGGAGTCCCTGTAATTGCTATTTTCTATACATTTTTTAAAATTTACTTATTTATTTGAAAGGCAGAGTTACAAGCAGGAGGGAAACAAAAAGATTTTTTATCTACCTGTCCACTTCCCACATGTCTGCAAAGGCCACAACTGGGCCAAGCTAAAGCCAGAAGCCAGGAGTTTCATCTGGGACTTCATGTGAGTGCAGGTGCCCAAGTACGTGAATCATCTTGGACTGCCTACTCAGGTGCATAGCAGAGATCTGATTGGAAGTGGAGCAGCCAGGTCTTGAACCAGTACCCCCGTGAGATTCGAGTTTCACAGGCAATAACTTAACATGCTGCACCACAGCCCTGGTCCCCAGCACATCTTTTTTTTTTTAGGATTTTATTTATTTTTGTTGAAAAGACGGATATACAGAGAAGAGGAGAGGCAAAAAGGAAGATCTTCCATCCAATGATTCACTCCCCAAGCGGCCGCAATGGCTAGAGCTGAGCCAATCTGAAGCCAGGAGCCAGGAGCTTCTTTAGGGTCTCCCACTTGGGTGCAGGGTCCCAAAGCTTTGGGCCATCCTCGACTGCTTTTCCAGGTCACAGGCAGGGAGCTGGATGGGAAGCAGGGTTGCTGGGGTTAGAACTTGTACTCATATGGGATCCCAGCACTTTCAAGGCAAGGACTTTAACTGCTGCGCTATCACACAGGGCCCCCCAGCACATCTTAAACCAGCAACCAGCCCTTCTCACTCTCTCCACTCACTCTCTCTTTTATGGAAAACATAAAAGACTAGTTACATCTGGACCTCCACCAAACATTTGAACATTTAACAGCAAATACCATGCTATCAACTAGTCTACTCTAAATTTTAGACCTGCCACTCCAAGTTGATTATTTCCATACTTAACTCTTCTTTCCTCTCCTCCCTCATGTATTAACCATTTCCTAGTTCACTGCAAATTAAAGGGAAGCTTGTATTTTTGCACTGCAGTGTCTGTTTGCTATTTCTGGACCACTGTTACTTTGACTCCTCCTTTGTGGCAGTGAACTGTTCTGCCTTCTCTTTGTGGTTTGTGGCTGCCTTTCTCATAGATTCCCTTTCCTCTCACTTTCTCAGGAACGTTGTCCTTCCATGTATTGCCCCCTCTCTTTTTGTAATAGTATCATCTTTTAATGCCCTGAATCATCTGATAGTGCCCAAACATGTCTTCCATTTAAGTTAAAAAAAAATCCTTCCCTGAATGCCACTTCTCAAACTGTCTTCTCATGCTGCCATTCCTCTTTCTGCGGTGTTCCTCCGAAGACTTCTGTACTCATCCTCTATATTGTTTTTATTCACTGACTCTCCTGAATTTCTGTAATTAGATTGTCATGCTTTCCAGTGTAGAGGCATTTATCACAATGACCAACCCAATACTGCCAAAGCTACTAGTTTTCAATTTTTTTTATTCCCAAGCAATATATTTTTAAATCCAATCATATTTATTTGCTATTTTTAAACCTTATTTTTGACTAGATCTTGATTTAGAAGTGGACACTGTCAGGGAAGATAGCCTGCGCCTTGATGATCTGCGCCTGGCGTATTTCTTTGGCCTCCTTCATTCTCTTGGCCGGAGGTTTAGCTGTTCTGCAACCTCTTCCTGATTCTTACTCCGCTGTCTGTTCAGAGCAGTGTGCTGGCATTTGTGCTGGACTCAAGGAGTAACAAGACACTGAATCTTAGGTGCTTTGCTCCTAGGTTTCTTGACCTTCTTTGTTTAGGGGCTTTCTCACAACATACTGGCATATATCATCTTTAGAGAGATTGAAAAGTTTGCAGATTCTGCTGGCTCTTTTAGGATCCATGCGACAAGGCATTGTGGTGTTAGTCAATTGTGGAATATCTTTCGCTTTTTTTTTTACAATAACCAGGTTGAAGACATTCAGGTTGGCATCGACAATGCAGCCCCAAACTGATTGGCATTTTTTTCCCCAGTTCTCCTGGGTCTGTAACAGAAATGCCCCTTGCTTGTCAGCAGGTGAACTTGGCCATGGGTCAAGACACCTTGCTTAATGGGGAAGCCTTTTTAGTCATTCATACCGCTGATCTGGACCTTGCATCCCTTCCACTCTTCACCCAGAGCGTCGGTAGCCACTTCGGCAGCCATGCACTTCTCAGAAAGTTCACAGTTTGCGCTCATCATCCACTTGGATGAGCTTCTAGCAGCCAGTGGCTGGGAAGGAGATACTCAGCTGCATCTTGAAGCTGTTATTCCCCTGCGAGGCACCACAGCAAAGAGGCCAGATAACATTTGATGTATATGTTCACTCCCAAAATACTTTCTTTCACCTGATTTCCAAAACACGATAGAGAATTTCTTTGCTGACCCTGCTCTTCCCAACCCTGTTTGAGTACTCCAAGGAGAAATGATCTGCCACTGGTGACAAAGCCACTGGTGAGATAAGAACCAGGAGACAGGTTTCTGGGTGGTTGGATTGCTAAGTGAGGGACCACAGGCTGAGATAAGCAAGGTGGCACATGTGTCCTCAGAGGACCAGCCCACTAACAGGAGTGAGACAGTGTTCCTGGGAAGATGTAGGCAGCGTATATGTACGACATATTAGAGCAGCTGCTACAGATTGTACTCAATAATTACGGATTGATTGTTATCTAAAGTACATTGGACCAGTAAAAGGATTTCAGGTTTCAGATATTTTGGGGGGGATTTTGCAATATTTACTTGTACATAACAAGATACATAGGACTGGGATCCAAGTGTAAATAAATTCATTTAGGTTTCATGAAATTCTTATACACATTGCCTGAAGGTAATTTTATACAGTGTTTTTAGTGCAGTGTAACATTTAGTGAGTGTAACATGAAGTCAGGTGTGAATTTTTCCACTTGGGGTGTCATATTGACCCTCAAAAGTTTGAATTTTTGGAGTAAACCAGATTCAGAATGTTCAATGTATAATAGTATTTTTTTGGTAAATACTGAAAATGCTGCTGCACCTAAAAGAAGGTGAAAGTTGGCATGACTCAGGGTATTGTCTGTGGAAGGAAGAGAAACTTGACCCAGACTTTAAGATGGATTTTGCTAAGGGCAAGGTAGTCCAGGTGCTGATATGAGTAAAACTCAGTGGTGCACTTGAAGATAATGTGGTGGTACAATGAAGGGTGTTTCTACTCACGTGAAACCCGTTACAGGCATCAGAGTAGTTGAGGCCACTTTTTCTTTGATGTGTGATTTTATTTGTCAGTTAACCTATACTTACTTTTAAAAATTCTGTCTCTCAGGAAACTATGTCCAGTAGAAGTTGCATAACTGGCCAGTTGTACAGTTCCATTCTCACTTACTCTAGAACTCTTAATTGATGATGGTTTTTGCATTTGTGCCACCAGGTTTTACCACCATTGAGGGATGTGACGAATCGACCTGAAGTTGGCTCAACTGTGAGAAATAAGCTGGTGCGCCTCATGACACATGTTGACCTTGGAGTCAAGCAAATTGCTGCTGAATTTCTTTTTGTCCTTTGCAAAGAGAGAGGTAGGTTAAACTCTCTTTGCCCTCTGATTTTTGTCATTTGGAAGGAATTCCAGAAATTTTCCTGGTAGCTGTACTATCTCATTTCACTCTTTCAAAAGCTGACCATCTGTCTCTTTTATTAAAAGTAATGAGGAGATAATAACTTAATAATCAAAAAGTATTTGCATATGCTTCTGTATTCACTAAGATGTGAATCGCAGAGATAATACAGAGCACACTCACATTTAAACTTTTGTATCCTTAATGCAGAGGACTTCAATCTAAATGGGGCATGACCTGAAGCCATTGTGAAAAGTTCTGCTTAAGTAGTTCAGGTACTACTGTTTTGATAACCAGGCACAGGTCCATGTTAGTTCTTTGGAATTAAATATTTAGAAGCTTTGATTTCTTCATTTATTTTTCCAATCAGAAAATAACTGAATATACTAGATAAATACCAAATTGTATTAGGTAGCACTGGTGTGCTTGCCTGGACCAATCCCAGTGAGCGTGAGCCATTCTATAGAAGATCTCTCCCTCTCCCTCCCATTGCCCCCACTCCATTTTCAGCTAAATGAGTAAAATCTGTAATGTCTGTCACTTACCCTTGAGTTAAGGGTAAAACAGTTTGGAGAGAAATTTAACATAACTATAACTTAAGAACACTGTCAGCATGTCCAGAGTGATTGCCTGACAAAGTGCTTCATACATTTCTGTGGATTATTCTGTCAGTTTTCTCAACAAGGGTCATTGGTTGTATTCAGATTCTTCTCACCTATTAATTTATAATATCAATGTGAAGTACTATCTAAGCAGATTTTTTATTCTACTTTTTTTAAGCAATCAAATTGTGAGATACATAATTTGGAGAAGTTCATTCCCCTGTCTCAATCCTAGCAATGAAAAACACCTGCATCCCATGTCTAAGTGTGGTACCTGGCTCCAGCTCCTAGCTTCAGCTTCCTGCTGCTCAGATCCTCAGGCAAATGTGAAAGCTCAGGTCACTGGATCCCTGTCATCCATGCAGGAAACCTGTGTTGATGTAGCTTTGTCCTTAGCCAAGCCCTGGCCACTTCAGGCATGTGGGGAAGTGAGTTAGTGGATGGGAGCTGTGTGTATGTGTGTTAAACATGCTTACTCTCTCTCACTAATGAAATAAACAAATATTGCTAAAAGTCTTAAGGCAACTGTATTCATAAACTTCATTTCTGACATATTAATCCAGCCACTTCAGTTAACCTGTTAAACATGTATAATTGGTCATTTTTGTAATGGCCATAAACACAGGTATTACAGAATGAGATACTGTGTGTCTGATGTTGGAAGCATCACCTCATTTCACCTCTTAGGGACCACCTAAGATAAATCCTGCTGTTTTGGTTTTAGAAATGAAGCAAGCCTGGCCTTGAGATCCATTTAATGATTTATCCAAGTTCATATAAGTAGAAGCCTGTATTCATTCCATCCTGCCATATTTCCTCTTAGAATAATAATTTTGAGGTATTAGATTACTTTATTTATTTAGCATCTACTCTTTTAGACAGTTTGCTTCTTTAATAACTGAAAAAAGGTAGATTTAGAACCTGGAATTGAGTGGTCAGCATAGTGTAGTTTTTCTGTATTGTGAGCATGCTCTCTTTGGATAATTTTTTTAAAAGTTTATTTCTTCTTTGATTATATATCAAAATGTGACAGCATTTTTTTAAAGATTTATTTATTTATTGGAAAGTCAGATATACAGAGAGGAGGAGAAACAGAGAGGAAGATCTTCTGTCCACTGATTCATTCCCCAAGTGAACAAAACGAAGGCCGATGCTATGCCGGTCCGAAGCCAGGATCCAGGAACCTCTTCCGGATATTCCGCATGGGTGCAGGCTCCCAAGGCCTTGGGCCGTCCTCGACTGCTTTCCCAGGCCACAAGCAGGGAGCTGGATGGGAAGTGGAGCTGCCGGGATTAGAACCGGTGCCCATATGGGATCCCGGCGTGTTCAAGGCAAGGACTTTAGCCGCTAGGCCACGCCGCGGGGCCCTGACAGCATTTCTTAAAGGTCATTAAAAATGGAATTAAAAGATCATTTTTAGGGAACCAGCATTGTGACACATAAGGTTAAGCTGCCACCTGTAACACTGCCATCCCATGCTGGAGTGCTGGTTCAAGTTACAGCTATTCAGCTTGCAATCCAATTTTCTACTGATGTACCTGGGAATTCAGAAAATGATCTCCCAAAGTATTTGGGCCCCTACTTCCCACCTGGGAGCAAAAACACAAGCTCTTGATATTATCCTGGCCTAGTTGGCCCTTGCAATCATCTGGTCAGTGAGCCAGGGCTTGGAAGGTCTCTCTCTCTGTCTCTCTTTCTTTCTCTCTCTCTCCCCCACCCCCTTTACTCTCTATTGTTCTGCCATTTAAGTACATTTTTGAGAAACAGGGGGTGTTAGGTTTAGGGGCACCCATTTGGCATAGCTGTTCTAAGATGTCTGGATCCCCTTTTGGAATGCCTGGATTCTAGTCCTTGCTTAAGTGCTGATGTAGTTTCATTTCAATGCACAAGCTGCTTGTAACAGCTGATGTTTTAAGTAGCTGTATTGCTTCCATCCGTGTAGAAAGCTCAGCTTGAGTTTCCTGCCCCCAGCTTCAAGCTGGCCTAACCCTGGATGTTATGGGCATTTGGGAAGTAAACCAATGGATGGGACCATACCTATTGTCATTCTCTCTCACTCACTCTCAAATAAATTATATACACAAAAAAAATTTTTTTAAAGGTTTATTCATTTTTATTGGAAAATGAGATTTATAGAGAGGAGAGACAGAAAGATCTTCCATCTGCTGGTTCACTCCCCAAGTGACTGCAATGGCTAGAGCTGAGCCAATCTGAACCCAAGAGCCTCTTCTTCTGGTCTCCCATATGGGTGCAGGCCTTGGGCCATCCTGCACTGCTTTCCTAGGCCATAGCAGGGAGCTGGAAGGGAAGTAGAGCAGTTGTGACACAAACCAGTGCTGACATGGGATCCCAGGTCATACAAGGGAAGGACTCCAGCCACTAGGCTACCGTGCTGGGCCCATACAAATAATTTGTAAAATAAGTTCATTTTAGGGGACTTGTGTCATAGCATAGTCATAGGCTAAGTTTCTGCCAGCACTAGTATCCTGTATGGGCACTGGTTTGAGTTCCAGCTCCTCCATTTTCTATCTAGCTTCCTCTTTGTGGCCTGGGAAAACAGTGCAGAATAGCTTAAGTTCTTGGTCCCATGCACCTATGTGGGAGACCCCAAAGAAGCTCCTGACTGCTGGCTTCACATCTGTTCAGTACTGGCTGCTGCAGCTAATTCTAGAGTTAGGTGAACAGCAAATAAAGGATCTCTGTCTATTTGTAACTCCACTTTTCAAAAACCTTTGAAAAGTATAATATTGGTGAATTTTTTTAATCTATGCATAATCTTTCCAGATTATGCATTTTCCATGTATGATTCCACATATGTATATGAATACATTACATATCTAAATAGAATCACCTTATTGAGTTGATTTGTCATAAAAAATGTAGCACATGCATTTAGAAGTGAATTGGCCCTTTTTTTTCATTTGAAATGGTTAGCTTTGCACTTCATAATACATAACACTAAAGTTTTAGTGCTAGGTTTGAGCCCACAGTCAACTTACCTTAGGAAAATAATATTTTCATTTGACAGTATCCACTTTCCCCCGAATTTGTATATGGAGAGGAATTCCGTGGAATAAGGATTGACTAACTTAGCCGACATCTTTAAGCTAGATCCTGGGATTGCAGAGGTGTGCAAAGCAAAGTCGCTGTCCCCACGTTACTGACGGCTGTGCCAGGGTCAGACTCGGTGCCTGTCAGCCAGGATGGTTAGAATAAAAGAAGTGGGTCAGGTCCACGAGGTGCAGGTGTATGAAGGAAGCCTCTTTGCAGCGCCCGTTTGTGAGGTAGGGGCTGCACACACCACAGATGGGGGAGGCCCTGAAAGAGGAGAGCACTGCAAGAAGCTTGTGGGAAAATGCAATTAGAAAACATATGTTAGGGACAAAACCAATTTGATATCCATGCGTAGCTTTTTCATACATTTTCTGTTAATTGTTTAAAAACTTCCTGCATTTAGCTCCAGCTGACTTACTATCAAATGCCACATAGCCAGTGTAATTAGATCTTCTCAGTTTTTTCAAAAGAATGGTTAGAACATTGGTTAGAATTTTTACATAAATTTCTCAGACTTTTATTCAGTGAATATGTTAAAAATGTTTTGATTGATTTATTCTATTTGTTTGAAAGCCGGAAGTAGAAACAGGCAGACTAATAAAGACCTTCCATACGCTGATTCATCCCTTGGATGCCTAGCAGAGGAGCTGGGTACTAAGCTGGGTCTCCACATGGGCGCCAAGGGTTCAGGTCCTTGGGTGTCACCTGCTGTCCCCCAGGGTACACACTTGCAGGAAGCTGGAATTCTAAACAGAGCCACTTGAACCCATGAACTCGGACAGGAGATGTAGGTGTAACTGCTGCATCAAATGCTACCCTTCACTTTTTAATATCATTAACCAAATACAATTTCATATGTAATAAAGAAAAGTTGCAGTCTACCTTCAACTGTAAAAATCATCAGATTTGTGAGTTTAGGCTTGGAGGTAGATTATCATAGTAGCCCAACTTTTCTCCTTATTTTGCTGTATTTAAAAGTAATAATTAAAAAAATATTGAGAGGGCCCAGCTCGGTGGCCTTAGCAGCTAAAGTCCTCTCCTTGAACGCCCCAGGATCCCATATGGGCACCGGTTCTAATCCCGGCAGCTCCACTTCCCATCCAGCTCCCTGCCTGTGGCCTGGGAAAGCAGTCGAGGACGGCCCAAGGCCTTGGGACCCTACACCTGTGTGGGATACCCGGAAGAAGTTCCTGGATCCTGGCTTCAGATCGGCAAAGCATGGGCCTTCGTTTCGCTCACTTGGGGAATGAATCATCGGACGGAAAATCTTCCTCTCTGTCTCTCCTCCTCTCTATATATCTGACT